GACAGACCACCTTATGATACAGCGCGCACACGCTTACCATTCGCCCCCCCCCCCGCCTTTGCTGGGAACAAGACGTGTTAAGTACATAACAGGTTGTACACATTATAGCCTATGGTGGTATTTAAGAATATGCGGACGTTCGTACACTTCTGAAAAGCTTTGGGATTCGTGTTTAGTAATAAATAAACACAAAATAAATTGATCAGGCCTATTGCCCACATTGGTAGCCCGAGGCTTGAAGGTGTGGGAACCTTTCGCAACCAGCATCGGGATTTGGAAATTGAATTTAAAAAGAGTTTATTTGAGAGTTGTTAAGGTACCCAAGCGCATTAATAATTAGCCATTATTTCGTCTCATTATTATAAACTGTTTGATCTCTCATTGTAATGACGGATACTGAATCTTATTCAAGTTTGTTAAATAAGAGGGTTGTTGATAATACCTTCACCGCTATAAATATTATATTCAAGGGAGAGACGGTGAGCCTATGGTATACTAACTGATATTAGAAACCGAGTGCTTTCATTCTGATGTCTCTATTTAGCGTATGACAATCTTACCAAGTCATAAAAAATGACGCAAATTCAAGATTAGAAAGGGCCCCAAACTATGTGATAACATTAAGGTATTTAGTGGCCCACGAGCCTACCATACTCGTAGACTTATTCTATGCCCAACCCTGCCTGTTATGTATCTTATATGTTCCTATATTTTGTACTAGTTAATAGTTTCTTATGGATGAGGTACGTAAGAGAGAGGGGGCGAATGGTTAAGTGCCGTGATTTCGATTCCCCGCTTGGGCAATTAGTTGCAATATTAGATAACTACTGTCGTTTTTCCAAGGGGCATATGTCTACAAACAACCTGACATCAACTCCCCGATGTGACAAGGTGCTTCGAAATTAATAACTCAGACTATATTCTATAATATCATAAAAGTAACATTTATTAGATGGACCGACCCTCCTCATGTTATATTATAATCGGGATATACTGACACCTACATAATATACATTATACATGTATGTGTTATGTTTAAAGATGGGTTCCCGCGTACAAACTGGGTGATTTAATGGTATATATGGACTAAAAACATATTCAAACTAATTAATTTGTCATAATTATGCTTCAAATCCTTCTCAACCATTGTAATTGCGAAGGAATGCCCTGCTATTAAAATTCGATCAAACCAGGTCATGGAAGTCAGAGGAGAATTCATTGCATACATAAGACGATGTTGTCTTTAATCGCTTACTATTTATTACAAATATCGAATCCTAATTAAATTCTCGGATTATCCACTACCCGCGTCTTTTTTCTTTCATTTTTATCTCAGAAAGTGTTGTACGTCTAACTCTTCATAGCGTTTATCAACTTGTACATCAAGCGCTCAATGTTGACGTGTGACCTTTGACATCACGCGTGCAGAAATTCTTAATCGTCGGGCTGTTGATAAGGGGAAACCTTACATTTTTGTCCTGTATACACTCCATGAGTGTTCTTCGGGGAATCCAGTATTTTTCTAGTAAGATTGGATATCTCTTCTTCCATGTATACCAAAATTGCCATACTTTTATTGGAAATAACCACCAGATAAATACTTTTCTGGGAACCCATCTTTAATTACCGATTTGATAACTGGCCCTGCCATTTGACAATGTATATATTACCATGTGTTATATCGTAAGATAACGATAACATTAATGCATTAATGGCCTAAACGGAATAGATACAGGTCAGCTATACAATAACATCTATATTATGTAAGATCTACCCCCCCCCCCTTCTTGCTTGATTGTTATTTATTATAATACCCTACAGTTTAGTGAGAGATAGAATTGCAGAAGACGAGAGTGAGAGAGAGAGAGAGAGAGGGGGTTTAACGTCCACTCGACACAAAATAGGTCATTTCGGGACTAACACATGATTCAATTTTATTTCAATAATTTCAATAGGGGTCTTTAGTGCGTGCTTACCGTTAGGCCACCCCCTACACACGTATCAGCCTTTACAGCCATTCTTGAACTATCTCGACCGTGCTCTATCAAAGGTACGGCTGGGAGGTCACAACTTAATTCCGATTTGCTCTTATCGGGCCGGAACTTTCTGGATTGTGAACCGTGGTTGTGCCAAAAATCACATTTTTTACTTGCGGATCCTCTCTAGGCGCAGCAATTTTATCTTATTTTCAAAATCATTCAAATAAAATAAAACAAAGTACGAACAATCCAAACCATTAGACAAAATTCGAAGTCCTAAAAAAGCGGTATAGGCAAAATAGTGTAATCAGACAAAATAGTGTAATCAGCATATGGACTGTTCACCGTGTACAAAATACACGACAGACAGTGGTAACAGGTGTCCGGAAGAGTAAGCTTACCCTGCCTGGCGCCACACCCGCCATAGCTGCATCCAAACTATTAAGCGAAATCTCGGTAAAATAGCGTGATTGGCCAATGGACTAAGTGATTATGTAGAATTCATACTACATCGTTAACACTGTTTATCACGTGCATTTTGGATTATTCAGTGATAGAACATCATCGATAAATCGATAAGTGAAATTAAAATGTCTGACTAATCGTTTATTTGTTTTACGAGTGCCTGTATATAATCGGCTTCGTAGGAATAGAGAAACAAATCAGCAAGCAAAAGTGCACAGTTGGTGCCCATGGGGATACCTACCACTTGCTAATTTCCCCTCCAAATTCAACAAAGATATTATCAATTAAAAAATCCAACATCTGAATTATCTTGTTGGCGGTGAATTTATTTTTAGAATCACTACAGTTGCGCCATAATTATAAATTATGGTCGAGTCAGAATTTCCTGAAAATCGGACCGAAACTTCCCGTCAAATGGCCGCTCCCCTATACGCAAATAGTGTGAAAGTATGTAATACCAAGGTTGTAACAATTTTTATCCGATTTCGATGAAACTTAAAACGAGTGTTGGGGGAGTTCAAGTTGGTACGCATCGGACCTTCCGTTCTAGAGTTATGCTAAATGCCTTTTACGGACAATGTGAAATATGAATGAAGTTTGTGGACCTCCCAGAGGCGACAATTTTTGCCCCATTCATGAGATAAAAATTAAACTATGTGTCGAGGATCAAAGTTCTTGGATGAGTTTCACTTTGGTACGTATGAGACCTTCCATTGTAGAGCTTTAGCCCCTGCAATAGAATGTTAGAAAAACTCTATCCCGTCGTGTTTTAATTAGCCAATCTGTCATAGATACGACGGAAAAGAGATGGAATGAAATATTCGACTGCTCAGTAAAGTTAACTAATCGCAATCCTCGCCAATGGGGGCTCTTTACCCAGGGATCTGTATAGAGCATAGCAGGTTTTTTTTCCAATCTGATTAAAATACAGATCTATATTTCGTTTCATTTTTATACGTCCGCATTCATAATGTGGACGTATTATGCCTTCTCCCGTGTGTGTGTGTGTGTGTGTGTCTGTGGGTCGCCTACAGGACGCAATTCTTACTCGATTTCCTTCAAAATGTGTATACTTATTCCTTACACCCTAAGGTGCATGTCCGATGCCCAGGGGCAGCGCCACGCCCATTTCTGGTATTTGTTTGTTTGTCGTCTACAGGCCGCATTTCTTAACGTATCATCTCGAAAGTTTGCATACTTATTCTTTGTACCCCAAGAAACATCCCTATCGTTTGGGGTGCATGCCCAACCCCCAGGGGCAGAGCCACCCCCATTTTCCTTCTGTGTGTCGCCCACAGGCCACAATTCTTAATCGATCGTCTTGAAATTTTTTTATATGAATTCCTTATACACTAATTTTTCCCTTTAGCGCCCAAAGGCCACAATTCTGAATGGATTATCTTGGACCTTGGAATACCTATTCCTTATACCCTAAGAACGGCAACTATTGATGTTGTCATTTCAATAACAGGATGGTACCTATTTATATTGTTTCCATATCCAACCCCCACGGGCAGAGCCACGCCCATTTTTTGTATTTATCGTCTACAGGCTGCACTCTGAATGGATCATCTTGGAACTTTGCACATTTTTTGCTTATACCGTAAAGACAGCAACTATTTATTTTGATGCTTGCCCCGACCTCCTGGAGCAGTGTCACACCCACTTTTTTTGTTAGTATTTTGTCTGTAAATTTGGCAAAACAAACCCAACGCCTAGCCTTCTTTGCCTCTGATCATATTACAGCCATTTCATATTTCATTCTCTTCATTTTAAAAAGTACCATATCAATCAAAGCTGGAATGTGGAAGTATATTGCAGCGTTAGCGATGCTCTCGTTTTATACTTTCGATGGCCTACACTGCATGAAGATCTGACAAGTTTTTCTGAAAGATCGCGTAAGGGGTCGTACGAGCGGATTTTGGCCCTATGACGTCAGACATTGATTAATCAATCAGCGTTGACGTTTACCCACAGTTCCGTGCATGGCACGCCAATAAGTCGCCGTAACAGGTAGTTTTATTGGCTAATACCTCACGCCATCCAGAACGCATATTATAACAACTCTTCCAGATCCTAGTGTAGTACAGACAAAAAGAACGAAATTTTAAACTATAAAAAACGAAACGAAATAGGATCTGTATTTTAATCAGAATGAGTTTTTTCTTTTGAAAGTCTACGTTTTACTTCTAGAAGTCTCACGTCTATGTTAAAATCAGGTCTCTTCCTGTTACGTCACTGTATCTAACTGAATAGTTACAGGTACTTGCGTGCAATAGCCTGGAGATAAGGGTACTTGCGGCCAAATTATTAGGGGCCAAAGCCCCCCCCCCCTAGCCCCCCTCCTCCGGGCCTGGAATGTTGTTTAGCGTCCACTCGACATATACGTCCCCCACAAATCGTAGAAAAGTTGACCTGAAATAAGATATTGATTACCGAAGATAAAATGTGTGAAATTATAGTATGTGTTTGTTAGACTTACTTAATAGGTGGGTCTTAATGATAAGAAAAACATATAAATATTTTGTCCGAGATGTTTTCAGTATTGTTTGTAATAGCTAATCCTGCAATATGTTGAAATTTGTTGTTGTCTGTACCGCGATTGCCTTCGTGGCCGTAAGTATTTTTAAGTGGCATAATAAAAGGCATGGATTCGAACTGTTAATTAATTTGTAAACTCGGTCGGTTAACAGTTTGCAATCTTTGCATGGTGTGTCCTTGATATGCTCATGTTCTAAAGCTGGTTCTGTCGGCCGTCTTATCTCATGGGCACGCCGGACAACTGCTCGGGACCCCACTAGTATAGTGGCCACATGCTAATCTATGTATGTTCTGACTTGCTGTTGTTCAAACGTTTGTGTTGATTAATCTTTACTGTACAGCATGCGTGTTAATGTTTAAACAATGATTTTGCTGGAATTTCCAATAGAATAAATATCTGTTTAATGGCATCAAACATATTTGCAATTTCATTCCCGTGAGTGGTTGCGTAGGTAGGGATCCCAAGCGCACTGATTCAACCGAGGGCCTATAATGCTGTTCAGATGGCCCTGTGTTTGGTTGTGGAATGTTGATGATAAACAACCATGTTGTTATATTGCCACATTGGTAATATAATAAATTTTACATTGGTCTTCAGCTGGTACTGACGATTCTATGGTATGCTTGGTAATATAAATAAACTTCGAATGGTTCTTCAGTTCTCAAATATCGCGGCAAGTCATTATAGACAGTATGAAATTATGTTCTTTGGGAGCTAGCAACTAATTTCTTGGAAACAAAGTGTTGACAATGCCCTGTATAATTCAGTATTTAAAGTATATAAACAATAAGATACATTAAGTTAAAACACGGAATTTAGAGTTGGAACATTAAAAAGATATTAAACAGGATTTAACTGTGCCGTTTACTTGCAAGATTAACCCATTTTATATTAGAATAATTTCAAGATGTTGATACAATGTATGAATTATGATATTATGCTATTAGTAATTCTTTGTTTCCAGGCCCAAACAACCGACAGTCCAACCACCATCGCTAACACTGACAGTCCAACCACCATGGCTAAACCAGACACTTCATTCATTTTCATCAGCATGGCTAACACAGACAGTCCAACCACTATGGCCCAAACAGACAGTCCAACCACTATGGCCCAAACAGACAGTCCAACCACCATGGCTCAAACAGACAGTCCAACCACCATGGCCCAAACAGACAGTCCAACCACCATGGCTCAAACAGACAGTCCAACCACAATGGCTATGACTGACGGACCAGTTGATCACACCAAGCATCCTCATCCTACTCATGCACCACATGTTGATGAGACGTTCCACTTCTTCAATGACAAAACCAATGTAAGTATAGTAAGAATATATATGAAACGTGATCAGTTTTTCGTTTTACCCGCTCAGGAACAGTTGAAGTTGATACTAATTTTATCCATACAGCGACAATTTAGCCCCCTATTAGGTGTAGTTTATCAGAATACAAGAACGCTGATCTTTCTTAAATGTTTCATTATCTTGCTCAACACTGTTCTGATCGAGACCCAAGAAGTGTACATATTATGTTGTGCCGATTAATATCCGACGACGGGGTTTGAGGTATAATAGCCACCAGCGATTGATATTAGGAGAATCACGAACCTCAGGTAAAGTAAGCAAAACGCAAAGGCCCCCTTCATGAGACAAGGTTAGGAATGATCCAAAAGGTAATTCTCCTCAAGTATCCGCAGGGTAATTATATGTAGGTACACGTGTTTGATTGAGAAAGGTGTTACAACTCGCTACACCTTAGATAAGTTACAACCAAGCATAAGCGAGAATACATTCAGCGATTGATTATCTACCCTTATAAAAACAAATGCGAAATGAAAACCGTTTCATTACCGACACCTCGAAAAGTAGTCGTCCCAACGTATTAGAATAGTTGACCCACTTGAGTTACTTGACACCCCTTTATCGGTTGTATCATTTCCACCAGTCTGTCTTCCAGTTGACTTAGACGACTTAGGTGATCGTGTGGTATAACTTAAGGTAGAAGAGATATGTCTGTTCTGTGCTGACGCATTGACGATCGTGCAGCGACAAGGCAATGATACTCTTGACCATAGAATCTCTTGGCGGTTCAAGGATCTTAATTTCCGGAACTGGACCAAGATCTATATCTGCAATGTCTTTCTCCTCTCTACTGGTAGTTGATCTCGGATTTGACGACTGCTCAACTGTTCTGACATAAGGACCAGAGGTTCTGTCATGTTGACTTCTGATGTGCCTCAGAAGATTGCCCCAATTAATACGATTCTTGAAAGATAAAGGGATTATGTGAACAAATTCACCAAGATATGTCCTCTGTTTGCTGATTCGACTACTTCGATTCCTAATTTCAGGACTCCGAGTCGTGTTATCACCTGAAAGAATACTTGTTTCAGACGTCTCTATACTAACTGTGTGGGGGTGGAGAATCTGTTTCTAGCTCAGAAAGAACTTTTGTGTGGTTATGAAATACAAATAAGTTTAGTGGGCAACTATCCCTGTAGTTGAAGCTTAGATGACAAATGCCTCATCTACTTAAAAAATCAAAATAAAAAATGCCATCATGAGCCATTCTAATTATTTCTGGTTTAACTGTATCAGAAATAACAACTTTTTTGCAAGACCATTACTAGCTGGTAAGAACATTCCACTGTGACCAAAGCTTTTTGCCTGTTAGAGAAAGTGGGGAAATATATTTCCATAAAGGTCTGTTATTCTCTTTATAATACCTCTTCATTACAGAATTGTTACCTTGTTGTTCATTTTGTTCTCTAGACCTCTTTTGGCTCAAAATATCCTGTGTTGATTCTGTTCATCCACACTGACTTATGGTGTTATCGTGAGCATTATACCGCCGTCTTTTACTCTTCTATAATCCTTGGATAAATGTCCAAGTATAAGTTCTCTAATAATAAACATAACAGAATTGTAATGATTTCTGAAGAATTTCAGACAAAACGAATATTAATAATTATAACAAAAGTGAAACATATACATGTTATGCATATTTAACATCATTGGAATTATACACATTATTTACACATTTATTTATATATCTATTAGATGCATAAGATCATTCAATAAATGGACACAAAAATGATTATCTACCAAAATAAAAACAAATGCGAAACGAAGGTTGTTTCACATACATACAGTTTTCTGTTGTGTATGATTTAATAATGTGGTTATGTTTTGCTATTTTGCAGTTTACATTTTGCTAGATCAACTTAAAACTTGTATTTCAGAACAAAATGGCGATCAGAACTAAGACAGCTTGCTACATCTTCACTCTGACCGCTGATCAACAAAAAGCTCTCGCAACTCCAGCTGGTATTCAAGCCACCGAGGTATTTTATATAGCATACTATTATCATAAATATTTCTTAATTCCCAAGGAAATACTATGTATTGTAAATTACAACAGAATAAGAACATTTTTGTTTTTCTATCAAACTATTTAAAAAAAACCGAAGGATAATAAATTGGCATCCTATTGGTTTCGATGCCAATCTATAGCGAAATCAATAAAAATGTCGACTTGGCAACTGTTAAATTAGACGTCTTCCCATTGCCAGTATATCAAAATTAAACACATAGACGTCAATCTCTTTAAGAGAAAAAGATTGTGGTCTATCTAGGCATGTACGATAATTATATGAGACTATGGTTTTTTGATTATTGATTTAAATAGAAAAATCCTGCTAGACATGATGTGACGTAAAAATTACAGAAATTTAGTTGAAATCTAATTATATTACCTGTTGTTTTCAGATTGCCTTGATTGGTATGATCTCTACTGGAACACAAACCCCACTGACACACAAGCATCTGCACCATGACGTTTCTAAACACTGTGGTCATGATAATGTTATTGCTATTAGTCAATAAAATGTTCTCTATTATGTTTTAAATATTTATTATCCAATTAATCAAGGACAGTGTTAAAGTCTTCTTTCAGCCAAATGTGACTGAATCAGGCTAAGTTAACGATATTGTACTCTTGACCAGAATGTCCCGATGTCAGGTTCCCTCTTCTCTAGGGTAGCGTATGTCTAGTCATACAACTCATATCGGGATTCTAATCCGTGTGCAAGGCGCACTAGTCTCGAACATTAATAACGTTCCAGGAACGGTTGGGGAGGTTCGGGGATTTCCACAATGGCAGCGTTATTTAAATGAGTATTTTGAGCAATCCTAACCCTATAGAACCCTTTTTAAGAAGACTAAACTTGGATGAGGTTTAACGTCACAAACCAGGTTATTTCGGGACTAACATATGTGGTTCAATTTTATTTCAATAATTCGCTTGCGCGTATGGGCCTTTAGCAGTGGGAGGAAACCGCGCCAGCTGACTTAATGTAATGATACAACGCGCACGCGCTAATTATTCGGCCATCCACCCCCGCCTTAAATGGCTAGGGTTAGTATTCCCCACAATACTCATTTATTATAAAATGGCCATTGTAAACTCAGGAAATTCCTCAACCTCCACAACCGGCCTACATTAGCATTACCCTTATTTGTTGCCGACGAGACATTATCGAGGTTTCGTACAACAATATCCCCATCGGCTTCATATTTACATCTGCATTGGCAGAGAAAGTTCATCCAGATTTTTCGGCGTGGTTCCCTCCTTGTCAGTGATGCAGTAAAAGAGGGCCTGACAAGGACAGCTGTCTAGTCGTTCGGATGGGACGAAGTTCCGAGGTGACGTGTACACATTGGCGTGCATGTACAAGATCCCTTGACAGTTGGAATTCGACATAGAGTGGGCCGTAGTGCCGCTGTCCGGGCAAATTTACTCACATAGCACACTGTATGGCGTATGCCCGTCTTCATTAGCCCAGTTCGGAGCAGAACAGTAGGACCTTTAGAGGGACCGCAAGCTAAAAAAAACATTTTTCGTACAATCAAGGGCTATAATTCAGGAAGTTAAGATCCAATATGCGCGAATATCGACAAGTTACATCAAAATCAGATGAAAATTGTGATTTTTCGTACAATCAGGGGCCATAATCTATATTTTTAAGTTTCGTCTAAACCGAATAAAAATTGGGACCTCTAGAGGGTCCACAACAAATTGGGGACGGACAGGGGCGATGGCAATATACTTTCACATGAAAATGTGGGCGTATAAAAAGGCGCATTCATTGAAAGTTTGTCGGTAGTGATTGTCGGACACATAGCTCGCGAGGACAATTATTAGTTGGGCTCTTTATTTACCCCAAAGTAATGGTTATTCGTCGATTATGCAAATCGTCAAGAAATAATACCATTGAATTCATCAAAGGATAAGTACAGACCACCTCCGTTTAAAAAAAACCGGGGGCATTCGTCGATAGATTGTAGCGCATACACACAGCTCACGAGGACAATTAGACGAGGACAATTACTCCAAACTGATGATTATTCGTTGGTGATGCAAATCGTCAAGAAATAATGTTTGGTATGCACAGGTCTTAACTATTGACTGCCGATCAGGTATTTTTACCAACCAGACCAATATCCGGACCCTACTGTCTGACACGGTGTTATGTCACACGGATTCTTTCCCTAAAATATTGTGCATCACACATTTAACCTGGAATTATTTACCCTTTCAGACATGAAGACCACAGGGGAAAAACTGGTGATGTTCGATTACTTCCCCTGATTTTACCCCTTGGTCCCTTCTTTCTTCTCCATAAATATTGTATGGAACAACTGGACATGCCACTCTCTACAGAGGGTTTTTTGAAAGGCATAAAAGGTAAAAAACTGGCGATGTCCAAACCATGGTCAGTCAAATCAAATGCCCAACGTACACCATAGCAAAGCTATGGGAGTGTGCACCAGCTTAATTAATATAATGTTCTCACTAAATGCATGATTCTTCATAGAAACTTGCAATATTTTAAAAAAAAACTCTTCCGGACTGAAGAAATGAGTGTTCAAACTGGAAATTTCCATTTAATCAAAAGTCAGAAAACGTGACATCGCCAGTTTTTCCCCTGGAGTCTTCGCGTGTATTGGGAAGCCTCTTCTGTCTCACTAGCAGTGTATTACTTTGGCCGAAGCGTCTTACTCTTTCCGTAATGACGATCTACCTCGTACACGACACCCACGTAAGTACTGCATACATCACTGCAAGGGTTCTTTTATATGCACGCCGATAACGAAAGCGATAACGATAATCTGTCTATTGTATTATCTGTTCTCTTGGGAAATTAAAGAAAAGTCATAATAAAAAAAAACCAACATCCAGGATGTCAACTCTATTTGAGACTTATACTTATATACGCCCTACCCCCTCCCCATTCCATTTTACTATCACCACAAACAGTGGAAAAGAGGACCTGAAATGACTAAACCTCAGATAACATGTGTAAAATAGTGGTAAGTGTTTGATACTGCTGTTTATAAACGCCCCCCACTCGATTTTACGATCACAAATCGAGGAATAGCTGACCATGAAATGATTTAACGTTTCTATATTTAACGTATTGATAAGCCCCAGATAAAATGTGTGAATTATAGTATGTATTCGTTGAATTTACGTAAATACTGGGCCTTGGAGATAAGAAAACCATATAAATAATTTGCTCAAGACATCTTTCCGTATTCATTCTGTAATAACTAATCCAGCAACATGTTGAAATTAGCTATTGTCTGTGCCGCTATAGCCTTCGTGGCTGTAAGTATTTTTTATGTAGATTAAGACATGAATTCGAACGTTTAATTAGTTTGTAAACATGGCCTGCTTAACACAGTACATTTAGGATACGTTCTTAAAAACTAATGGTAGGTTGTCACGATTGCTACGATTGAAATCGTGGTTTTAATCGTGGAGTAATGGTGGTCTGCTCATATATTGAGGTCAGTCGTAGCAATCGTGTTGATCATATCGAACCGTATCCGAACGTATCTGCACGTACCAGATCGTGGACTCAATTGGGACAATCCTCTCGTAACGTACCGCATGACAGTGGGAACCCAGCATTAGCAAACTGGGGAAAAGCGAATGTACAAGGCTTTAAAATTGTCCAAGATATACATGAATTGAACTAAAATGGGGTTAACCATCGTACTGTCCTGCTCCGACTAGGCTAATAAAGACTAACTACTAACAAAGTATAATCACGCCGGAAAATCCCGACGAACTTTCTCAGTCAACACCGGGATCGAACCCGCGACCTACAGGCCGTCATGGCCACCTCTATAATATAAGAAACGTTTTAGGAAATATTGATAGTTGATCCGGGCACATGTGGAAAATGATCTGCGGTTTGCCATAATAAGAGTGTACAATCCTGACTGCCCTGGGTAAACTCTTATTTTATGAACAATTGATAAGTTAGGGTTCAAACACAGCTAAATATAAAATTAAATGGATTAACAGCGTTTATTTTATACTGTGGTTTACTTACAAGATTTACAGATTTTAATATTAGAATAAAACTGTTATAAACAATTTCAAGATGTTGATAGCATGTGTGAATTATGATAATATAATATTAGTAACTGTTTCTTTCTAGACTCAATCAACAGATGGTCCAACTCCTCATCCTCATCCCGATCCTCATTCTCACCCAACTCCGCATCCTCATCCCGATCCTCATTCTCACCCAACTCCTCATCCTGATCCTCATTCTCACCCAACTCCTCATCCTCATCCTGATCCTCATTCTCACCCAACTCCCCACCCTCATGAAACTCATCCACCTCATGTTGATGAAACTTTCCACTTCTTTAACGATAAAGACAATGTGAGTAGTATATTTTTTTTTCAAAAAAGGCAAAGGCTAGTCTAACTTTTCAGGAACAACGGATACCTATCACAGGTGTGGCAAACATGCGCACGAAGAAGAGGGTGTCTAATCGAATCAACCGTGATTTTATCGAACTTTTCGTTTTTGTTAAATGAAATGGAGTTTAGCGTTCTACTTTCCGCAACAATCGGGCTGATCAGGATTGAGATATGGGTGCGGGAAGTAATACCCAGACAGCTGCATGTCTGCCTACCCTGTCAAGTGTTCTTTTTATGTACATGTACATAGATTGATCTAGGTTCTTCGTCCCATTCAAACGACGAGACATCTTTCTTTCCAGGTCCTCCTATTCCATGGGAAATAAAAAAAAAACGTTCTTAACCAACACCGGGATTGAACCTGGGACCCCATGGTTACTAAGCCACCGTGACTCCTTTTATTAGATATATTTTGTTTATATGAAAGAACATTGTTATTTCTAGAATGTTTTATTATCTTGGATATTGGGAGTCTAAGACATGCAGTTTTTGCTTAAATCAGTTCTACTCAGACCTGAGAAATGCACATAAATAACAATTTCTGCTATAATATATGCTTGAATAATTTGGTTGTAGAATATTTATGTTTTATTATTATGTTGGCGTTTACATTTGTCAAACATTCTTAAAACTAATATTTTAGAACAAAATGGCGATCAAGACAAAGACAGCTTGCTACATCTTTACTTTGACTGCTGATCAACAACAAGCTCTCCTAACTCCAGATGGTATTCAAGCCACCGAGGTATTTTCCATAGCATTAATATTATTACCAATATTCCTAAATTGGGTACAGAAAACGTCCCCTGTCATCCTTTAAGGAAGTGTTATGTATGGAAAATCATAGCATTTTCTGTCACATTATTATCAGAAACGAAATAGGCAGATCTTACTATACTAATTCTATTGGTGTTAGTCGCCAATGTCATCTGTAGTGAAAACAATAAAATATCGACTTGACAGCTGTTTAATTAAGAGGGTTGCATTCCAAAGTCAAATTTGTTTCCATGGAAACGAAAAATATAAATCCCAGAAATTCCTAAATAGCAAAAGGTACAACTACTGTAATGGGTTAATGCGTGTACAAAGTTTCAAAAGATATCTTAAACCGTTAATGAGACATGGTCCGGAAACGAAATCGGGCCTGACGGACGGGTAACCCCATTTCAATATCCCCCCCCCCCCGCCCCGCCCCCTCCCCTCGTTCGGCGCGGGATTATAAAAGTTAAAATCCAGCTTAACCTGATAATGCGATGTAAAAGGTACAGAAAGTTCTTTGGAATCTAATTATATTACCTATTATTTTCAGCTTGCCTTGATTGGTCAGATCTCTACTGGAACACAAACCCCACTGACACATCAAGATATGCATGCAATCTAATTATATTACCTATTATTTTCAGCTTGCCTTGGTTGGTAAGATCTCTACTGGAACACAAACTCCACTGACACCTCAAGATATGCATACAGATATTGCTCATCATTGTGGACACGATAATGTCTTTGCTGTTAGTCAATAAAATATTATTAATTTTATTGGAAATGATTTAAGCATTTATTATGCAATAAAAGGTGCTTTATGTAAGAGCTAAGTCTGCCTTCTGCTGGTGTTTTTTTTTCTGCTGCTTCAATTAGTTTATAACGCTTTAATTATAAGGCATTTGTTCACATGACAAGCCCATAATCAAATCTCTAGGTCATCCGACGGTCGTGATAGTCAATGGATTAGAACAGCCGTGCCATTTATTAATTTAACGTTAAAATGGATACCCGAGATTTTATTATCGTTGCAATGGTACTCAACAATCGATACTATCTTGTCAATCCTTCAAATACCCATAACTCGGTCAGTATAATGAAAATGGACTGAAAGGTGCGATTTTATAACATACCTGTAATGTTAAAAAGTCTTCTTCCGACTGAACCACAAATTGGCTCGAACTATATTTGGAATAACATGAACATCATAGCTAATGTTGGGTCGCGGTGCTCTAAGACTAGAATGTCCTCGGGTTTTTATCACATTGTGTACTAAGACAAAACTGGATAATTACCGGTATATTAAGTCTCTCTCGTGTATAAGTTGCTATTGCATTATGCGAGAACTAGACTTGCATATTACCATTAGTTTTTCCGGCTTCAAATGTTATATAACTTATTATTTATAAGCTTGTTTAAATGACATGCCAATATCAACTCCTTAGACCATCGGATGGATTATATTGAGTGGATTAGATAATGCCCATCATATCTGCGTGAAATCTCTTCCGCTTTTAGTAACCAATGTCCAGTACTCAGGCAGTAGTGACTACCTAACTCGTAAACGACTTGGGGATGGGACTACAAATGTTGCCCCCCCCCCCCACACACACCGTTTATGAAAACTGCTGTATACGTCACTGCAATGGTTCTTGTACATGTGCTGCAATGTGTATACGGTGGACCTCGATTTTCTGTCCCACCTCAGAACTGGATTTCCAAATTAAAGCTATGATACCACAAACGGATGAGGGGCATTGGTTCGCTAAACTGGAGGTCCCGTGTTCGATCCCGGAGTTGGCCGAGAATGCTGATCTGGATTTTCCGGCGTGGGTTCCCCTATGAGTGTCGCAGGACGGGGGTGGGGGTGCTGACAATCCACAGCGTATAGTCGTACGGATGGGACAAAAAAAAAACCGAATTACCGTCTACAAATTGACGTGCACATAAAATATTCCCTGGCAGATGGAATTCGATATAAGAGTAGGCCATAGCGGCCGCTGTTCAGGCAAAATTTCCCTTATAGCACAGTGCATGGTGTATGTCCGTCTTCATTATCCCAGTCGGAGCAGAACAGTAGGCCGTTACCCCATTTCATTTCATTTCTTTCGGATGGAAACATAAAAAAACAATACTAGGATGTGGCTTATATATATAGTCAGCTATATAATGAAAAAGGTTATGACATTAGATAAACTGTTGACCATGTTCCGGAGTATTGGTATTGTAAACCTTGTACGAGGCATTATTGCTTTAGCAATTCCCCAAGTAAGCTTATTTTACTTTGTTTTATCACTATTTATCAGAAGCGGGCATAGTTTCTTTACGCGCGATGTAATTTTTGTGCTTTAAATGCAATGGGTTTTAATCCAGAAAATATTAGATACATCTTGAAAAATTCCAGACATACTCAGCGGTATATTGTAACACTATGCAGTGCTATGCGTCGCTGGTTAAATGTCGAAAGTACACGGGAAACCACCCCACATCCGACGTGTGACGCATACTCTTTTCTGCTACATATATTAACAGCCTTGTGGTCGTCTAGTATTGTCTCTGGTTATATTTGTAATTCTCTTCGTAGGATTCCTTTTCACGTTGTGTATTTTCTTTTAAATCTCCGCCGCTAACACGTTTGTCTATCGGGTACAACAATGCTGCAGTTCGTTTCTACAGTTTATATAAAGCCTGGATTACATAGGTTACAGGCATGTCTTTCTCTCCTATCCCTAACCCACTCTTCTACAAATCAATGGGGTTTACTGAATCCAGATGGTAGCCTCAACGGTCTATGCTCTCTAAGAATCTAAATGGTGTCTACCCGATAGCGCACATTCTATTTGTTATATACGCTCAGATTCACAGCTATTAATTATTCCATTGGCTAAATTATGATGTAATTAATCATGTGATTGGTCACCTTTGCCAAATATGGAATGGTAACTTCCCTATCCTTAGTGATAAACAAGATATTCTGGTTTCACCTAGAATCGGCTATGTTTATCAATTACAACTTGTTTTATTTGTCAACCTATCTCTCATTCAATTCGAGTGCGTGAGATATAAATACCATGTCTATGAATATGGTACCAATAAGGACATAATTATCAATATAATGCTATTATTATTTAAAGGTAAAAATTCTACAATAGTTTTCACTTCTCCCCTTCTTAAGATTTTTTGCCCGGTATTAGGTAAAAGATCCCTTGAAACCTTTACAACGACCATACCAACATCTTTAGGGTTATATAAGCATTCACGCGTTGCACAAATCTCGCTATCGATATTATTAACTATAACTCAAACTAAACCAAATTTGTTAATCGGTTAACGTCTTGGAATATGAACGGGCTTACAATTCATTTAGAAAAACATAAAATACCACCAAAATGGCTGTTTTGTGAGTGGTCATTATGACACTTAGTCTATAATGATTGTTTCTTGGGTGCAAATCTAAAAATTCAGATTATTAATGAAACAAACTAATATAAATAGCCCAGCAGTTAGCAGTTTGTGTGAAATATAAATATGGCTTACCTTGACCCGATTATATAAGATAAGATGACGATATAAAAGAACCCACCGATTATTTATCGCTACTTCATTTTAGTCAATGTATCCAACCATGTTGAAATTAATAGTAGCTTGTGCCGTTATTGCGTTCGTTGCTGTAAGTATACATATATACGTTCTAGCATTCTGTTGTTATATACACACTATTGGTAATGGAAAGTAAATTTCAGCCCAAATTGGTCCAAAATATTAAAAGTTATTGCTATCTAAAGTTATCATTATTTTCTATTAGCGTCTGGCTTATAATCTACTGGATAAATTCCGGTGTATTTGATCAAGGGCCCGTGAGAGGGTCGGGGGGGGGGGGGGGCAGCTGGGACACTTGTCCAGGGCCCGGGGGTATAAATTAATAACTAGATAGTAAAGTAGAACATCGATGGCTTTTGTCGACAAATGATGCGTGATTCCTCACTAATATGTCAGGGAGAAGCTAATTATCCGTTCGGTCTGGCATTGAAAATGCTTGTCACGTACTGTTAATTTTGATAAGGGTATTGAGGAGTTCCGTTTGAAACCAGTTCAACACGTTTTGGGGTATTGAAAAAAATAAACTAATAGTTTATGTGATGGTCACGGTTTTTGCTTTTAAATTTTATTTGCCTGCTTAAAATATCCTGTAAAAATCGTGTACATTTGATTATTATTACATCAGTAGTACATATATTATTATTTGGTATGTCATATTATGTTGTTGTGTTTAGTCTCAGTTCCTGTGTTTTAGCGAAGTGACTTCCAGTTACCCCAGATATACGTCAAAATGACGCTAGAGACCTTGTATCTTTCAAAAAATATGGAACCCGGACCCACCCCATCGCCCGCCCCTTGTCGAGTTGTTTCATTCAGCTTGGGCAGCCATTTTAATTCTAGTGTTGCTACTTATTACTATCAGGTCAAAAACAAGGTTCCGTTTTCAAATCAATTTTTTTTTTCAGGCCCAAACAGACGTCCCCACTACTCAACACGCACACCACAACAGCCATGCACCACATTCACGTGCTACCCATCAGACTGATGTTCCTCATTCATCTAAATCTCCTCATGTATCTAAAGCTCCACATGGAGAGAATTTCCACTTCTTTCACGATGAAATGCTTGTAAGTATATATAATATTAATTTAAAACAAAAACCCAACAAAACATACACTATGTTTAGTGTTTTGCTTAGTACACAGATTGTATGCAATTCGCCCTCTCCTACTGCCGGAAGTATTAAATCAGTTGTGTGACCTTAAAATATACTATTCAAAAAAAGTAGGGGATATTTGATTTTGGGGGCATAATACTAAACTATGCAAATGACTACGAAAAAAGTCACTATAGAACCTAACAGAAGAAACATTTCCAGTTACATGTGACGCCCAAACGCACCAATAGCTACCGCATAGTGCAGGTGATGCTTGGGATCATCATGGGGGTCCAACCCAAGATTTGCACAACTCTGACTTTGAATGTTACAGTCATTGTGGCATTGAATTCCAGGGTGGAAACGTCAGTTTAATTGTTGTAGTGACCAGAAAACAAATTTTGATATGCGTCGGCTTACCCAAAATGAAAGGTTACGTGCCCTTGGCATGCTACAGATCGGCACAACACAGGCGGTTGTGGCGCGGACGATGAATGTTTCTCAGTCTGTCATAAGCAGGCTATGGTCCAGATACCGTGATACACAATCTGTACAGGACAGACCACGCTCGGGTCGACCAAGGGCGACAACTCAAGCCCAGGATCGATTTATCCGTACCTTGGCCTTGAGAAATCGTGTCATCACAGCAAATTAGATCAGCGCTCGTCTTCAAACAGACACTGGTGTGAGAGTGAGTGGCCAGACGATTCGGAATCGACTGCATAGGGGTCACCTTCGCGCCCGACGTCCTCGCGTGATCTCTTGTTTGAGAGATCATCACATTCAGGCAAGACGTCGTTGGTGTAGGGATCGTCAACACTGGGATAATCGACGCTGGAGCAATGTGATGTTTTCAGATGAGTCAAGGTTCACTATTGATTTTTTGGACAGACGTAGGAGGGTGTGGCGTCGTCGAAACGAGCGCTTCCAAGACGTTAACGTCATCAGACATGATCGATTTGGGGGTGGTTCTGTTATGGTGTGGGGAGGCATCACTGTTGCTGGAAGGACGGCTTTACATGTTGTTGCAGGGCGTGTTACAGGCCAGTACTACCGGGACAACATCTTGGCAGTCCATGTTGTGCCGTTCGCACGACGTCATGGCCGCCGTTTCATCTTCCAGGATGACAACGCAAGATGTCACAGGGCCAGGATCGTTACAGGTTACCTCCAACAACAGAACATCACCACATTACCTTGGCCAGCACTGAGTCCCGACCTCTCCCCCATCGAGCATGTCTGGGACATGCTTGGACAGAGGTTACGTCAACGTCAACAACGTCTTTCCAATGTCCAAGAACTTGCTGCTGCGTTGCAACAGGAATGGGACAATCTGGACCAAAATGACCTTAGACGTCTCATTAGGAGTATGCCACGTCGGATCAATGCTTGTTTGGCAAACAGAGGAGGATTTACCCGTTACTGACTTGGTTGTGATGCTGTGGTAACTTTGCTGTTTGACCCCGGGTATCATTTTACCCTTATAATGGTCAGTCTGTGCCTTACTTAGTCTAACGATCATTTGGAATAAATCGATGAATGTGAACTTCATTTCATTTTGTCATTTGTTTCTTCGTCAGTTTCATTAGGTTACTTTAATAACACTTAAAAATCAAATATCCCCTACTTTTTTTGAATAGTATATATATACGACATAACTAAATGATAAGACCCCGTTAAATCGAAAATATGGCATTCACCTGACAAGGACAGTTGTCTAGTCGTTTGAATGGCACAAAAAAAGAGGTCCCGTGTATACATTGGCAGTTGGAATTCGATTTAAGAGTAGGCAATAGTGCCGCTGCCCGGGCAAACTTGAACACTGTATGGTGTATGGCCGTCTTCATTATCCCAGCCGGGGCAGACCAGTAGGACGTTAAACCCCATTTCAGTTCATTTCACTTATTTGACCCCAGGCTTGTACACAACACGGATTATGGTTACTCGCCTAGCCTTGTGGGTATTTTATGGATACTCCGGGTTGCTTCCACCTCTAAAGATCCCTATGCTGAAACCAATTATCGAAATATACAATAATGCAAGTAACTATGTGGCCAAGTTAGTTGTATCAGTTTTATTAAACAGGCATTATGCAAGAGCTAAATCTGATTATTGCAAGTCTTAATTTAGGCTTCAGATGTTATAGAAATTATAAATTAGATCTTTATTTAAACAACAAGACCAAAATCAACTCTGTAGACCCACGGATGGCTCGGCAACAGCTCGGATTTAAATAGGATTTCACTAATTGATTAAATCAAATAAGGGATAACCTGATGAAAATACGTCAGTTGGATCGAGGCTAAATGATAGAGTGTATTTAGCGAGGCCGCTGTAAAGCGTTTCGGTATGCCATTGAAAACTTTACTTGATAATCGAGATATGTAGGTGGAGTTAACGCCTGTCAATCAAACGATCAGCGAAGGTGAAGACACATTTCTAGGCAAATATTACAACGATGATAACTATGTTCAGAATAAAGTAATTTGACTGAATTTTTCAATATATTCTTCTTTCATCATCTACTGTTTAACTGTTATAGCAATAATGGCCAACTCTCTATAAAAATCTCCCATAATGTATCTTTAATTGTTATATATTCCATTTCTCATTTCAAATAAAATACATTTTGACACCATAATTACTTGTACTTACATCCATCGCCTCTTGATAAGATTCGTTATGATTTCTTGGTCAATATTTTTCAGAGCAAATTGGTCATCCGGACATCAACAGAATGTTTTGTCTTCTCTCTGACAGATGCCCAACAGATGGCTGTCAAAACCCCCACTGGTCTTAGAGCTACAGAGGTAATTATGTTTCCATTATTCAGAAGTCAATATTTTCCTTTTTACATATTACATCCACACAATCCAGTATATGGATTGATGCTATTTCAGGCCTGGAACCCCCTCTCCAAATTTCACAATCAAAGTTGTTGAACTAATCCACACAATCCAATATATTTTAGAGTTGTAATTCAGCCTGGTGTGGCACTTTGACTATTAGTGGAGCATTATATTTCCATTTGCATGGGAGCTGCGGTAAATAGGTGAATAAAGGGCCATCTCGCAAACCAGGAGGTCTCAGAGATTTTCAAGTATATATAAAAGTTGAGGAACGCTTGACGGTTGGAATTCGAAATAAGGGTAAGACACAGCGCCGCTGTCGAGGTAATATTTCCCTCATAGCACACTGTATGGTGTGTGCCCAAATTCAATAGTCCGGTCGGTTCAGAAACTAGGACGATTGTGCACGCCATTTCATTTATTTTTGTATGGTACTATGGAGTCAGACATCCTAACGAAAAAGATCAGTATTCATTGATTTAACAAATTATGATAATTAAAAGGTAACTATTGATTTGAAATGTTAAGACCTTTATTAAACTTTATATTCAGCATGCATGGGGATGCAAATACCTGGGTTAGTCATGAAATAAACTAGTTTGTTTGTCAACATCTAACATGATAATTTTTATTGCTATCTTGTAGGTTGCCTTGGTCGCTATGATTGGTACTGCCACTCAAACAGCCATCCAACCAAGTGATCTCAGTAAACATGCTGCCAAACATTGCCAAAATCACCAATCATTTGCTCTTTCTCAATAATCATATACGTTAATAATTATAAATATTATATCTTACTTATGTATGACTTGAGTCATGTTGAGACCGACATATTGTAATCTAAAGGAGATACTTTATTCCTTTAAAACGTCTTAAACATACATTATGCAAGAGCTAAATCTGCCTATGAACTATTAATTAGACATTTATTAAATTGTCTGCGATATCACCTCGGTGGAAGCGGACGTTAAGTACAGCTATTTCACACACATTAATTAACTTATCCAAACCATAATCAACTCTCGATGCCATCTTATGTGTGGGATTTTCACTGGGTTTGAATCCGATCTGCTGCTGAACGCTCAGTAATGATTAAATCCAAAAATGGATAATCGAGACAATGTTTTTCAGATCTTGGGGGTGTAGTGGATATTGGCCTCATCAATTTGTAACGTAGCCAAAATGTCATCGGTAACATCTCCCGTGGCGTAAAGAAATGTACATACCTGTTCTTTAGTTGGTTTCAGCCGTGCCATCAAATCCTTTCGGTAGTGGTAGTTGACAGTGGCGGCGAACAACTGCCTCGTCGGCCAGGCCTTGTTCAACACCTTCAGACATGATTCAGGTGGATTCCCGTCCATGCCACCATTTTGTATTCATTTTTAGGGTCTAAGATTAACACCCTTTCATTTCTAGTTACTAAATGGAGTTGCTCCCCTTAGAACATAATGCCACAATGACCAGTGACGTAATTCATTCAAACAGAATCATCTCTTAGCGGTTAAAGCTGAGAAATCAGTTATACCAATGCCGTTACATCATAAAAATGAATTCTGTCATACAGAAAGATCTCAAACTAGAAATGTTTTCACACATAATCAATTCTAAATCTCTACAATAATGTTCCATATTTTTTTTCGTACATAATTTTCATATGGAGTGCATAATCCGACTCTGTATTTGGTGAAGCTTCATACGTGCTGATAATCCTAATAGAATGGGGTTCGCCAACGAGGGGCTCGCTATGAGGAGCGCGTGGATAATGGGTTAGTTCACGGCCTTATGTAAACATACGATCTCTGATGTAAACATCGTCTGCTACTTCCTGTCGTCTCTAAGGACACCCAAAAGGTGGGCACACTTTTCCGAAAGATCTAGTACTGCGGAAGAGATGGATGGTTGCCAGACTGGAAATGACGACTACACTTCTCGGTAAGAAAAAAAACAACAAAAAACATAGGCCTCTACATACATGTACATCCTCATTGCACTCAGTTACAAAATGCATACATATATCAAGGTTTTGAATATGGGGATAAATTAGGTCTAGGTCTGTTGACCCCCCCCCCCCCCCAAAAAAAAACAAAAAAAAAAACGATAACAAGCCAACAGCGAGGCTGATGTCCCCCGCCGAAATCCCCAAATAAATAGATGACACATATTAATTAATCGCACATCTATTTTTTTCAAAAGTATCGACCAATCAAACTGATTATCAACTATACACCAAGTTTCATCACTCTCTATCAGATAGAATCAAAGTTATCTTGTCCCAAAGCATCGGTCAAGGAAATTGCTTATCTCTGCTTAGCTTTAGCTCGATATGTTAATCATTGAACTCAGTCAAGACGAACATCTACATCAAGTTTAAACATTCTACCCCAATTAGAAGCGGAGTTGTTATGTTCCAAAGTCATGACCAATCAAAATGCTTATTGCTCCTTATCCTAAGCAGACCAATCTCATCATTGAACTTGGTCAAGGTATTGATGTAATGAAACTATACACCAAGTTTCATCACTCTCACTTAATAAGAACTAAAGTTATCGTGTCCCAAAGCATCAACCAATCAAATAGCTTATCTCTACTTACCATAAGCAGAAAATGCTCATCTTCGCACTCTATCAAGGCATTGACCTCATAAACACCTACACCAAGTTTGAACAGTGTAGCTCAATTAGAAGGAGAGTTATCGTGTTCCAAAGTCTCGGCCAATCAAATTGCTTCTCGCTCCTGAGCAGAAAATGCTCAATATCGAACTTAGTCAAGGTATTGATGTAATGAAAGTATACACCAAGTTTCATCACTCTCACTTAATTGGAACTAAAGTTATCGTGTCCCAAAGCATCAACCAATCAAATTGCTTATCTCTACTTACCCGAAGCAGAAAATGCTCATCTTCACTCTCCATCAAGACATTGACCTAATAAACACCTACACCAAGTTTGAACATTCTCGGTCAATTAGAAGGAAAGTTATTGTGTCCAAAAAAATGTGACGGACAGACAGACGGACGAACCCATTTTAATAGTTTGAACATTTTAGCTCAATTAGAAGGAGAGTTATTGAGTTCCAAAGTCTCGGCCAATCAAATTGCTTATCGCTCTGCTTACCCTGAGCAGAAAATGCTCATTATCGAACTTAGTCAAGATATTGATGTAATGAAACTATACACCAAGTTTCATCACTCTCACTTAATTAGAACTAAAGTTATCCTGTCCCAAAGCATTAACCAATTAAATTGCTTATCTCTGCTTACCCTAACCAAAGAATGCTCATGTTCGAACTCCATCAACACCTACACCAAGTTTGAACACTCTCGGTCAATTAGAAGGAGAGTTATTGTGTCCCAAAAAGTGTGACAGACAGACGGACGGACAGACAGACGGACGAACCCATTTTAATAGTCCCCTGCTTTCTTCGAAAGGCGGGGGACAATAAATCATTTATTATCTATGATTTCATGCCAATCCTTCAGACCTAATCTACTATGAACCAGTGTGTATTTTAATATTAAATGCTTGGGCTATTAATTTGAATAAAACCTAGTATATTAAGCCTAAGATTTAGAATCAAGCAAATGCTAGGCCTAATTATAAATGAAAGAGCATATTTGTTTTAAATAGAAAATTATTCAACATTGATATGGACATTGTTTTAAAAGGTTCCGCGTGGTTATATGATTAAATTTTTATACGCCCAGATTTTCATGTGGACCCCTTGCCACGGGACGAGATGGAACGAGGGAGAGCGCCTATTTGTGCCAAGCTAAGACATGGCTCCCTCAATACAAGCTAGTTCTGGGTGTCTTTAACATTACGATGTTTGTATATAATATGTTAGAAGAATAAAAGTATGATATGAAGTTAAACTAGTTTTGTAATCAAGAACCTGATAAAAAGCAATACTGGAACACAACGGTGATATTTACTAGATCACTACTGCCTAAATGTCTTCTTATATACATCACATTTCCAGCGACTAAGTTTATGTTATGTTGTTTATAGGAATCTACAATTATCCTGTATCACTTAAAATTGTCATTAATTGAAGTTTTATAGACCCTTATCAACTTTCACGATGGGCATACAGAATTTAAATAATGATGGAACGGCATCTCTTGTGTTCATCTAGAATAGAAATCAAATATCAGCATTGAACCTTCATGCTAGAGATTAAAGTAACGTAACAGTAAAAGTAGTCCTTCGATTTAGAGAACAAGTTAACAAATTTTTGATTGCTGCTCCTAACATCAGCAGTGTCAAAAAACAATTTTAATCGAAATTGAGTCAAATGTAGGTTAGATATCTATTCAATCCGATTAGAACACACATCCTATTTCGTTTCGTTTTTTATAGTTCAAACTTTCGTTTTACTTGTCTTCACAAAACTAGGATCTGGAAGAGTCGTTATATAACAGGCGTTCTAGTTGATGTGAGAACTAAGCCAATGAAATGGTCTGTTACGGCCAGGCGTGCTCTGCACGTAACTGTGGGTAAACCGTCAGAAACCTCAACGCTGATTAATTAATCAACGTCATAGGGTCAAAGCTGCTCGTATGACCCCTGACGCGACCCCCCTGTACAACGGGCCAGATCTCCATGTAGTGTAGGACATCCAAAGTATACAAAAACGAAACGAAATAAAGATCTGTATTTTAATCAGATTAATATCTATTTTTTTTTTTTAAGAAATCAATAGACAATCATTCTGAATACACAGTGGAGTCGATGTTACGGGATTTAAAATTAATGTAATTATTTCCAGCTCCCCTAATAATTCGCTTTTCAACCAGTATTTTGTGCTACAAGGGTGCAATAGAATTATGGTATGATACACCTGACAAACGGTCATTACATATTTTGGGATATATGGCTATCAATACAAAAAGACTGAAACACTTTCTTTCTGGCACTTTTGTGTTTCAAAAAATATCTCCAATAATGTAAACTCAAAATTATAATTACTATTTGTGGTTTTGGATAAGATTTTTTATTAATTATTTGTTGAAATTATACAGGTTTTGGTGGGTTTAGTCATGAGGTGGGCCCTGTTTAACAAATTCTTAAAGATGGGTTCCCAGAAAAGTATTTATCGGGTGGTCATCCCCGAAAAACACTCATGGAGCCTAAACAGGACAAAAATGTAAGGGAATTTCTGCACGCGTGATGTCAAAGGTCACACGCGAACATTGAGCGCCTGATGTACAATACTGGATTCGCCGAAAAACACTCATGGAGCGTATACAGGACAAAAATGTAAGGGTTCCCCTAATCGACAGCCCAACGATTAGGAATTTCTGCACGTCAAAGGTCACACGCGAACATTGAGCGCTTGATGTACAAGTTGATAAACTTTATGAAGAGTTAGACGTACAACACTTTCTGAGATAAAAAAAGACTCGGGTAGTGGATAATCCGAGAATTTAATTAGGATTCGATATATGTAATAAATAGTAAGCGATTAAAGACAACATCGACTTATGTATGCAATGAATTCTCCTCTGATTTCCAAGAGAGGTAATTCACGTGACGTAAACATGACCTGGTTTGATCAAATTTTTATAGCAGGACATTCTTCACAATTACAATGGTTGAGAAGGATTTGAAGCAAAATTATGACAAATTAATTAGTTTGAATATGTTTTTAGTCCATATGTACCATTAAATCCCCCAGTTTGTAAGCGGGAACCCATCTTTAAATCTCTTTAAAATCGTCGTAAACTAAAATTTCATCTAACTTAAGATAGATGCGTTTCACAAAACTAGTTT